AAAACGCAATTCTTTTTAAACCAACAATTTAACACAAATTCCATACTCAAGGAAAAATACTGTTTTAAAGCAAAAAATGATCCCCGCAACTCAAGGAAAAAGATATTTAACTTGGTAAGAAACATAAAGTTCATAAGCAATTAGATGCTTTTCAGAACCCGATCCTTCATTAAGCAATCCTTCCTTGTGATTATCTTCAGTCTTAGAAGCCCTCCAACCAGCAAATGCCACGTCATTACCAGCACTTGTTGCATGAAAAGCTATGGAGCCTAATCTCCTCTATTGCGCTAGATGGCCGTTGAACACACGAGAACGATCATTCACACTTTGAAAAGTCATGTTTTTAATCCTGTTGGGTATCTAGTCATCCTCCTCATCAGAAAAGTCTGGTAGAGTGAACCAGTTTAGTCGTTGATGATCCGTTCATGTGGCAGGTTGTATTGGGTTGCATGACATTGGGTGACCTGATATAAATTTTAGTGTTAAAATCAATGTAAAAGAAAATGACTTTGGCTTTGTGTCCGCCATTGTTAAAACCACAAACATTTAAAAACTGTTTTGAGAGAAAGAAAGAAAATCAAAAACTCAAACTTTTACGTTCAGAGAAGGGGAGTGATAATAACAAACACTTGTGAGTGTAGGAAGAAGTAGCAACAACAGCTTACTAAAATATTATAACAGGAGTAGATAGGTTCGCCTATCGTCCGGTTCACACTGCTCCCGGGTCGTTTGAACAGGACTAGAGGTTTGTCCCTTGTTTCCTGTTTAGGAGTAAGTTTCAGATTCCTTCTAAAGACTACGTCAACTCTGTACTTCTAACGTCTCCGCATAAACTCTGAAATTTTATTTACTACTTCTTTTTCAATAGGAGTAGATAGGTTCGCCTATCGCCCTGCTCGCATCCTTCCCCCAGTCTTTTTAACAGGAGTAGAGGTTTATTCCTGGTTTCTTGTTTACGATTGGGTTTCCGGTTCCTTCGAAAATCTTTTCCTTCTCTTTCACTTCCGGTGGCCCTTTGTGTCTTGTGATTCTTACTCTGTAACCACATTGAGTGCCACTTGGGCCTTGTACAGGGTAAAGGGTGAACGCTGCGTGTATAAGCCTGTCTAAAATTTGGAGAGTTTTGTGTAAGCACATCATTCTTGTGATTCAAGAAAAATTAATCTGTGATTTTTAGTCCTGGCCTTTGCACCTGAGACCCGCTATGCCACTTACACGGAGTTGAATCATCCTCATTCCCTTCGTATTCCATTAGTAAGAAGCAATTTCAACACAAACAGCTTCTTCCCAAGAACTGTTGTTTTGTGGGTCAGAATTCCAGGAGATTTCTTTCTCGACCCCTACACTCTTAACCTCTTCAAGTCTAAGGTTAACCGCTATCTTTCCTACATATCCTCATAAACTGCACTTCTTGCCATCTCTTACGCTTATAAAACACCATACAACAATCCTCTACCTTTAGTGGCACTTGGGCCTTGTATTGGGCGAATATTAGTAAAAAAAGAAGAAAAAAATTGAATGAAACGTGTATTTGAGGGATCGAAGCGACAATTGCCTATTTCACAAATTTAAAAAATGTGGATTATCATAGGTATAAATTCACTTAGACATCCCACCATCTTGGGTATGACGATAAACTACATCCGCGTCCTGGGTAAGACGATAAACTACGTCCAACAGCAAGGCCTCTGATCAGGAGGTTTTGAGGAGTGTGGAACCACCTCTTAATTGCTTGTGTTCCCAGGTCCGCCCTAACCCGGGGTGGTAGCACCTGTTAGGGTTCCCGCTGTGGGCAAATAGTTAATCCCGTTACTGGGGTCAAAACACTATGAAAGTGTTAAAACAGGTTTTAATACCAGACATACTTTGTAAAAAAATTATTTCCAGCAATAAATTTTTGAAGAAAAAAAACTATTAGCAGCTATACATTTTTGAGGAAAAATATTAGCAGCAACAGTTTTTTGAAAGAAAAAAAAATTATCACCAGCAACACATTTTTGAAAAAAAAAATTATTACCACAAATAGATTTTTGACAAAACAAAATATTACCAACAATGAAAATTATGTCGGCATTAAATAACCCATTGGGGTTGATATGCCGTAAAGCAAACCAAACCAAATTAGACATCCCACCCCAAAAGTAGAATGCTAAATGCAAGTGAAATAAATTTTATGTTAACTGAACAAATATATTTAGGAAAGGGGCAAATAATTGTAATAAGATTACATGACGAATACAACGTAAACGCCTTTTATATATATATATATTTTTTAGTATCTGGCTATGTTTTTGAGATGATGTATTATGTACACTATTTACATTGCTCGGACTATCGTCCTCATCTTTGTTGCCATATTTATCACAACGTTTCGGCCGTTATATGCTCCGGCCTTCTTCAGGTGGTTGTAAGGGTTCAGTTCGACATTCCAACCACCTGAAGAAGGCCGGAGCGTACAACAGCCGAAACGTTGTGATAAATATGGTAACAAAAATGTTAGTCCGAGCAATGTAAATAGTATAATTTTTTTTAACTACTCAGCAATTTAAAAAATTGAAAATATTTTCAGCATTCTAATATTTTATTGAATTTTGGGTACTTTGGATTTACTGTGAGGTACTTTTTTACTCACAGGAGACCCTTGTGGAGGAAATGCTAGAAAATTACCAATTTTAAATTTGCTAAAGCTACGGCTCTTATTTTTTTGATGATATCGTATATAGAAATCCGTATCTAAAAAATCGGCACATTTATACAAAAGTAAAAAAAAATTCATATATATTTTTTTAAATGCTGGGGGCAGCTGTATTGTAGTCAGCTTTTCCATTTATGATTGGTTAATACAGTTTTCATTTAATAACAATATCACATGACTAATTCAAATTAATACAAATTTTTAAATATTTAAAAGTTCAGAAATTCTAATAAAAAAAAAGCAAAACAAAAATGAAAACAATTCTTGTAAAAATTATTATCAATCGAAAAAATCTTTTCGTAAGCATTAGTTGCTCAATGTAATAAGTCTGGTCATAACTTTGATTTAAACAATGTTACTTTAATTAAAAGAGAAAGCATTTACTAAGGCGAAATTGTATAGAAAGTGCTTTGACTGCTAGACCATCCACAGTAAATTTAAATTTACAATGTCTAAAAAAAAATTATAATTTCAGCGTTCCAACATTTTCAGCGTTTACAGTAGGTGCATAATGATAACCAACGTTTGGGTTTTTTATGTTCCCTCGCCTATCCTACACACACACACACACACACACACACACTATATATATATATATATATATATATATATATATATATATATATATATATATATATATTCCGTCAGCAAAAATATTTCTTTAATTCGGTGATGTTCTTCTAGAGGACGAAACGCGTTACACATAATTTTTTCCACTTTGTCATTCATTTTCCTAATAATAGAACATCGTGATCTTGAATACGTTTAAACATAAATTTCTCTTTATACGTCAACAGAAAAGTTACCGATCTGGGGATGGGCACTTCGCTTCTCTCTACGTAGTGGGTACTTTTGGTGACATAGAAACGTGATAATCATTCATGTGAAACATTAAAACCTAAAAAAAAAAGAAGAAAGAAATGGGTAAAAAATGTAAAAGTATTTTCATTGAGTTGGATTATGCAAGTTATATTGAAAATTGCTGGGTCGTAATAAAAAGAAACTTAAGAAAATCAGTTTCGGCGAAAATTGACGTCCACGTAGAGAATGTATTTAGAATTCAAATCTATTATGATAAAAAAGAAAAGTATCGTTTAGTGGGTGGGGTGTCTGATTCTGCGAGATTGTGTCACGCGCTTGGTTACGTGGACGGATATTTAGGGAGGTTTAGCACGTTTTTTTGCGGGTAACTTAGTGAGGCTAATATAGGAGAGGTCTGCATTTCCAAAACCACTAGAGGAGAGGGCCTGAAATTCAGCGAAAATTAGGGCCTGGTGTGGAGGACACTACTTCTGCGACTTATTTCGGCGAAGGATATTGTATTATGAGGACATGCCTGTCATGCATCAAGATTAACATTTTTGCCTCGAAAAAATCCTTTCTCTTTCAACGTGTCATTCAAACAAGCCAGTTGCTCACTGAATGATTGCACAGTAACACATTGTCCAGGTTCGAGGAATTCGGTTGAAATAATTCATTTTTAATTCTCTCAAAGAGATTACATTTTTTTCATTAGTTTAAGTTGAGATGTTGAAGACATTTAGTAACGATTCTTTCGTTATGCTGTCTCATAATAAATCTATTTTTAATTTTAAGTATCTTTTTTGCCTTAAAAAGAAGGCCGTTCAGCACGTAGACGATCATGGTTCTCCACAGCTTCCTTTTTGTTATCAGTGAATTTCCACGACTTCTTGCAAAAAAGAATGGAGTGGTTTCCTGCTGGCTTCTCCACGGTTTTGAATTCAGAGAAGTCTTTCTAATCTGGTTGCCACTCAAGGCTATTGGTCCAAGTTTACCTTGTTATTTAAACCTTAGATAGTCGAGAGAGAGGTAGAAATAGATTCCTGAAGGTATTAGTACAAAAGTGAACGCAAAAGACGAAGCTGGAAATTGAACTCGGTTCTTCCGATTCTACTCTCCGCGCTAATAAACTTTACGCTACCAGTACATTCCATTGACTAGTGTGTTCAAAATTTATTTTTCTTTTCTGTTTCTGAGAGAGAGAGAGAGAGAGAGAGAGAGAGAGAGAGAGAGAGAGAGAGATATGCTTAAATGCTGACCATTTTTCCTTTCCTTAAGCTCACGTGGAATCAATTTTCCTCGCTTCATAATTACCCCACAAGGTTAGTAAAATAAAGTGCAAACAGTTGACTGATTCCCCGGTACTATTTTTCCATGCTAGTTCCTGTGTTGATTCTGTGGCACATGTCTTTAAACTGTTTTCTTTTCCAGTTCACAAGTTTTTCGGGTTATTCTTTATCCTTGAACTAAAATCTCCATTTTAAACCACTTAAAAAAAGAGGTTTTCGGCCATATCACGTTGAAACACCGGTTCCCGTAAACACATCGAAGTTAAACAACGTCGGGCCTGGTCAGTACTTAGATGGATGGTCGTTTGGGAAAACCAGGTGCTGTAAGCTTTGATGTGCAGATGGTGTAATGATTAACAATTCGGAAGTGTTAATCGGAGTGCCGAGTTCCATTTCCAGTCAGGTTCATTATATTCACTTACACGCAAATACCCTTAGGAAAGGCATGAAACCGCCTCTTCTCCTCTCAGATATGGGTTAATTTGTAATATTTGCATCACTAAATCATTATTATCTAAAATAAATTCCTACAATCTAAAATTGCAAAAGGTTGATAAGCCGTTGAAAACTAATTAATCAACTTTTTCTCATATGCCCTCAGTAACCCCTTGCATCTTAGTGGTTTTATTGCCTCGCTTGGGGTGAAATGATTAAAAAATATATCTGTTAATGTTAACCACATTTAAATAGAATATTCGTAGTAGAAAACAAAAATGAGATATTGAAGAATATTGAACAGTTTTTTTCGCATTATCGTAAAAAAAAAATGACAATCTCAAAATGTGATATATGTTCTTTCAGGAATTGTTATTCTAATGTATTTTTTATAATACATATTTCAATAGAAAAATAATAGAAAACAAGGAGCCAGTCTCAGTAGATATAGCCTCAGTGCCTTTCAAAGTAGAACGTTAAACATTTGAAAGAATATTTACTAAATTTACTAAATTGTTGAAAAATAAATATTTTAAATGTTTTAAGAGTATCTTTTTTATCGGTGCACTGACTTCATGCAGTTCTACCGATGGTATTAGTAATGGTACTATTAGCCGTTTTCTTATAAGGAAAAACTTCAGCATTCATTGACTGAGCAGGTTGTTCAACTGTCAGTTGTACCAGATGACATGTACTTTTAATCAGTCCTGCGAGTATCAAATTTTACAATCCCTCCTTCCTCATTATGTGTCACAGACATCACAACTGTCTCTTCCTAATGATAAGTATAAGTGCCTTTTTGTTGCCATTATCTCTAGAACTTCGTCGTTTCTCTCTCTCTCTCACCCATACACACGCATATATCACTAAATCCCCCCTCCCATATATATATATATATATATATCACTATATCATCTTCTGGATTTTAAGTTTAGATCATATCTTTTTTTATTGTGCGTAGTGTCGCCACAAATGTATCCACACGTTTCCGGTGTCTGTTTTTTAATTTTAATTTAGGTCGGCGAATCGGTAGCGAATTATGCATCGAAAAATGATTCATATTTATCTGTATCTCACTCATTTAAGCCGTTATTTAACTTCTCTCTTTAAAACTTCTCTCTGTTAAATTTTAATCCCCACCTTCATCTTTAGGCCTTCCTGTTATTCTTTCTTCTGTTACACCCTCTCTCTAGAGCTTTCATACATTTCCATCTCACACTTGTTTCCCTCTCCCGCACATACACTCTCACTAGAAATTTGTTTTTTATACCCAGAGTTATATTTTCCGATTTCTTTTTGAATTTATAGGTCTGACAAATTAGATCATATTTACGATTCCAATGTAATAAATTATAACCATGGAATATTATTGTTTGAGCCTTATATATATATATATATATATATATATATATATATATATATATCACAGTATATATATATTTTAACATCCTAAATGTTCCTCACACATAATTAGATATTTTCTATTGCGTTTATACACGTGACGCGTGTCTGACCAATGAGAATTACCAAAAATCATAACATTCCAGTACTCTGTCTCTTTGCATTTTCATTTCTATTCTCGATCTCTGACGAAGCCTTTATAAAGCTGAAACATGTTAGATTGAGATTCGTTTCCTACTTTGTTCTTTATTTCATTTTATCATCTTGTCTCATTCTTATCCGTATTTGAACTAAATTTGATATTAACACCCCACCCAAAAAAAAGTAAACTAATTGAGTTTCTTTTTTCTAGGTTTTCAGATAAGACGTTTAGCCATTTTGACACCATTTTTCGTAAGAATCACTGAGAAACCTTTTAAGATATTCAGCTAGAAAGAGAAGAGATTAAAATCGTTTTGTGTCAGCCCGACTATGTCTTCCCAACTGACCAGTGGTAAGAGACATAAGATCATTCAGGCCTTCAGGAATGGTATCAACATTCATACTCTGGACACAAGATCTTCAAAAGTTCATTCAAGAACCGCAAGAGATCGGTGAATAAGTTTTAAAAAGAGGAACAGTAGAGAACAAAACTGGATCAGGAGGACAACAACAAAAAGAGGGATCATAATTTCAACTATACATTAAATACATTCTTATTATTCAAAAGTAGAATCCAGATAGTGTTATAAAAAACGAGAAATTCCTTTAAGATATCTTTTAACTATTTCTAAGATAAAACGATTCAAACCTTTAACCTAACAATTGGACAATTTTTCTGTTGCCCCATTTGAACAATTTTGCTAGTTACAACCATATATATATATATATATATATATATATATATATATATATATATATATATAACTGACCAAAACATTGGGTAGCCGGACTCTTTTTACACTAAGAATATTTATATGTATTTTTATACGATCACTCCTTGCTGCTTTGAGTTTTCTGTCTATGTTCAGATTTCGATCATTATATATAACACACACACACACCAGAATACACACATATATATACCATATATTGGCATATATATATATATATACAAATATATATGTTCCTATAGCGAGAGTCTGCATATATATGCATATATATATATATATATATATATATATAATAAAATACACAAAAAATATATATATATATATATATATATATATATATGTTTATATATATATATATATATACAGTCTATATATATATGACCAAATATATAAACGGCATTTAAAAAGATAATGCAAAGGTTAATGATTTAAATGGCAGACATCCATCTCGCAAACAATTCAAATGGACACCTATTGAAAACCTCCAGATCCGTTATGAATGAATTGATCCTTGTTTATATAAATTTCTGCCGTATTGATTGTTATTTTTCCTATAGCTTTCGTCTGTTCCTACAGACATCTTCAAAAATATAATAGATGTTGTTCTTGTTTTTGATCTCTTAGTAATAAGAAGGACATCGAAAATATATGTGTATTGTATCCGAAATGCTATTGAAAATGAGATATTGGTTTTGAACGCGCCAAAGCAACGCTGAGTTTGAAAAATTTTTTAAAGTGTTTGCGTTTATACCAAATATGGTAATGAACAAATTATTTTACTGGTAAATTTTACTGTCAAAATGGCATGAACTATATTGTTCAATAATTACAGTAATGTCGCACTTATTAACCAAAAGTCGCACATGGATCAGTTATTTAAATTACAATAAACGTGCAATCAATTTACAAATACATGAATTATTCACACAAAACTAATGCAAAGGTTAATTATTTAAATGGCGAGACATCCATCTCGCAAACAATTCAAATAGTACACAAAAACCTCCAGATCCGTTATGAATGAATTGATCCTTCAAGAAACAGCTTATTATACCTTAAATTCTACCACCAAAAAACGAAGCGAATACCATCTATGCCAAACGACTAAAACAGATAGCAAAAGAACTTGGCCAAATGAAATTACAAAAAAAAAAAAAAAATGGTAGGACAAGACGTTGCCTGGCATAAAAAGAATGAAAGAAGCAGATGCTGACCAACAGAGAACACATCAGTGGCTGAGGAGCGCTGGGCTGAAGACTGAGGAGGAAGGTCCAATTATTGCAGCTCAGGACCAAAACCTCGCAACGAGATCATATCACTGTCACATGATCAAGGATGGAACTAACCCGAAATTCAGGATCTGCGGAAAATATGATGAAACTGTCGACCATATTATCTCAGGACATCCGGAACTGGCAAAAATGAATATACTCACGGATGTAACAAGGTAGCGACATATGTGCACTGGAAGATATGCAAGAAGCACAAAATCGAAACCACTGAGACATGGTATGGGCACCAACCCGGCACACTTACCGAAAATAACGATGTAACTATCCCCTGGGATATGCCAATTCAAACTGACAAGAAAATAAAAGCCAACAGAATTGATATTGTCATAAATGACAAGGAATTCACGAAGTGCATGCTTCTTGACATAGTAGTACCATCTGAGAGAAACAGCTTCAATGAAAATTATCGAGAAATTGTCCAAATACAAGAACCTGGAGGTCGACAATGTATGCAGGATGTGGGGGTGAAGACTGAGACTGCACCAATAGTAATCGGAGCACTGGGCCTCGTGAGAAAAGGAATGGACAATTTGTCTAACAGTGTCCCAGATAACAGCAACATAAGTTGTCCATATCCGCAGCCCCTACTGGGAATATCCCCATACTAAGAAAAGTGCTATCAATTAAATGAACCTCCTATCGGGCCTATATCATAGTTTGGACCCGGCTCTACAGGATACAAAGCAGGAAACATAACATACATAAATAATAATAATGATAATAATAATGACAGAGTGGGCCAATAACTGCTCTTAGAATATTCGTAACCTTTTGAAGGAGTCTAATTAATGATTATTTGTTGAACACCTGATATGTAATTGCTACCCTGTAACAATTTTATTATCCATACTGACAGAATAATCAAAGCTAATCAACCTGACATCGTGATCAAAGAGAAACAAAAACAGAATGTTCTTTCTTAATGACATGACCGTTCCTGCTGATTAAGGATCTTAAAATGGAAATTTAAAAAATATGGCACATGAGATCATCAATAATTTTAGTAGTAGCTGGAGCCCTCGGTTTGATTGGAAATGTTTCCGATAGACTCATTGAAGAGATCCCTGGTAGCCCATGCCTTAAAGAAATACAAAACAAATGTGCTCACAAATACAGCTCACACATTACAAAGAGCTTTATCTGTGAAAAATGTGTGTGATTTTAGGATGTCTTTTTTTTTTTGTACAAAAATGGTCAGTGAAAAATGTCATAATGCCATTTCAGACCTTAGGCATCTGTCTGGGACCCGGAAGGAAAGGAGTATACAAGAAAAATCAAAGGGAATAATAATAATAATAATAATAATAATAATAATAATAATAAACGCAATGCTTTTATTAAATCCTGTTATCATATTGTGTATATTTGACTGTGGTGAGTATTTCTTGTAGACCTTTATCGAATTTGTGAGCAACTGCATTTCTTGGTGCATTGAGCGCTCACTCAACAACAACAACAACCACAACAGCAACAATAATAATAACTATGATGATAACAATTATGTTTGATAATGTTCTTTAACTGGCAGTTAAATGAAGTTATTACATAAAAAGTTGATTAATTAAAGTTTCGAAATAGTGATTCTATCTGATATTTATTTTTTTCCCATTTCTTTTATGATGGTATTCTTCCTCACGCCCACTCGAGCGGAATGTGGCACAAGGCTGAATTTAAAATGAGGATTCCTTCTGGGACTACCACATGAGACTAGATTCCAAAAATATTCCAGTCCCCTCGGCAAAGAAAGAAAAGGGGAAAGCTGAAAAAAGAAAAGAATGAGTTTGGCTTCTTCTCGAAAGAGAGGTATGTCGTCTTTTACGATTATAATTATTTTTGTAGCCAGTGATTCTTAAAAAAGGCGTTAAGAGTTGGCAACTTCTTAATTAAAACTTTATAAATATCTTCAATTGCAAATAAAGAAAAGCATTAATTATTGGCTTGAGACGTTGATCGTTATATAACATTGATGTATATTGTTTCCATGAAACCAAACATCAAACCATCTTGGGTATGATAATAAATAGATACATCCGGCAAAGTAAGGCCTCTGAGATAGATAGGTTTTAAGAACGGTGAAACCACCTCTTAATTTCTGTTGTTCCAAGGTCCACTCTGAGCCGGGGTGGTAACACCTGTTAGTGTTGAGGGGCCAACGAGGACGTTAAACCCGCAAATCAGATAGATCCAACAAAGACAAGAAAGAGACAGAAACCAATAGTTAAGTTATAGTGATTTCTAGCCCGGCTAGAAATGTGGCATACAATAGAAAGTATGGGGCACCCAGTGGTCGAATTCACTATGTCGTAACTGATCAAGCAAGACAACTTTCTAACCATTACACCACGTCGAAGTGCCCCCAAAGGTTAAGTTATATACCAAATTTTATTTCGGCACGAAGGCGGAATAGCAGCAGCAGCCGTAGCCGTCGCCGCTGCAACTCCGCCTTTGTCCTCATCATCACCAGCGGACCCGCGACTAACCAGCCCTCGCCTTCGTCTTCATCATCACCAGCGGACCCACGACTAACCAGCCCTCGCCTTCGTCTTCATCATCACTAGCGGACCCGCGACTAACCAGCCCTCGCCTTCGTCTTCATCATCACTAGCGGACCCGCGACTAACCAGCTCTCGCCTTCGTCCACATCATCACCAGCGGACCCGCGACTAACCAGCCCTCGCCTTCGTCTTCATCATCACTAGCGGACCCGCGACTGACCAGCCTCCACCTTCTTCCTCATCATCACCAGCGGACCCGCGACTAACCAGCCCTCGCCTTCGTCTTCATCATCACTAGCGGACCGCGACTGACCAGCCTCCACCTTCGTCCTCATCATCACCAGCGGACCACCAACCAGCCTCCCCCTTCGTCTTCATCATCACTAGCGGACCCGCGACTGACCAGCCTCCGCCTTCGTCCACATCATCACCAGCGGACCCCTGACCGACCAGCCTCCCACCTTTCGTCCTCATCATCACCAGCCAGTGGACCACCAACCAGCCTCCGCCTTCGTCTTCATCATCACCAGCAGACCCGCGACCGACCAGCCCTCCACCTTCGTCCTCATCATCACTAGCGGACCACCAGCCCCGCCTAACCAGCCCTCGTCTTCCACATCATCACCCAGCGGACCCGACTGACCAGCTAACCAGCCTCCGCCTTCGTCTTCATCATCGGATCCCGCAGACTCACGATCGACCAGTGACCACCAACCAGCCTCCTTCCTCTGTCCTCATCATCACCAGGACCCGCCACTGAGCCATTCAACCAGCCTCCGCCTTCGTCCTCATCATCACCAGCGGAACCGCGACTAACCAGGCCTCGCCTTCGTCCACATCATCACCAGCGGACCCACGACTGACCAGCCTCCACCTTCGTCCTCATCATCACCAGCGGACCACCAACCAGCCTCCGCCTTCGTCTTCATCATCACTAGCAGAAACCAATGGTTGACTCCATCGACACTACTCCAGCCTCCACCGTCCTCATCATCACCAGCGGGACCTCCAACCAGCCATCATCACTAGCGGACCACGACCCGCCTTCGTCCCGACCATCATCACCAGCCCCGCGACCGCGACTCCAGCCTTCGTCTTCATCATCATCACCAGCGGATCCGCGACTGACCAGCCTCCGCCTTCGTCCTCATCATCACCAGCAGGACCCAGCGACTAACCAGCCCTCGCCTTCGTCCACATCATCACCAGCGGACCCACGACTGACCAGCCTCCACCTTCGTCCTCATCATCACCAGCGGACCACCAACCAGCCTCCGCCTTCGTCTTCATCATCACTAGCGGACTCGCGACTGACCAGCCTCCACCTTCGTCCTCATCATCACCAGCGGACCACCAACCAGCCTCCTCCTTCGTCTTCATCATCACTAGCGGACCCGCGACTGGCCAGCCTCCGCCTTCGTCCTCATCACGACCTGCCAGCAACTCTGCTTTCGTCCATTCAACCAGACCACCAGACCAGAAGCCTGCCTGATTCAGGGACGACTTTTACCTCATCTCCAACACCATTCAGGATTTGTATTCATTGTCGTGCCGAAATAAAATTTGGCATATAACTTAATCTTTGGTTCCTGTCATTCTTGTCTTGTGTTGAAAGTCACATTTTACTTGTGGGGTTAACGTCCTCCTTGACCCCGCAACATTAGGGTCCCAGCTATGAGTAAATAGTGAACTCCACAAACTGGGTTAAAAAAAATGAAAGTATAAAGATAAATTTTCATACTAAAAATTAACAGCAATAGATTAAAAAGAATTATCTGCAACAGATTCCCAAGAAAAGTAAATTTCAGCATTAAATGACCCATAAAGAGTTGATATGCCGTTAAACAGACAAGCCAAAATTAAAGAAGGACTTGATATTAATGTCGGAGTTAGACAGTAAATATAGAAATGGTTTTGTCTTCAATGCCAAATGGAAGAATAGCATCCATAGACATTGGACAAACAACGATATTAAACGGACTATAAATAAAATATCTATCCTTGTAAAACTTCGAACTTTTGTGAACTAGAAACAGACAGGGAGGTTTCGAGAGGACTGATAAGAGTTATTTACAAAGTTGCTGAAGATGACAAATTGCACCATTTTGCAGTGTGTCTTTAAGTCGAAACAACTCCCATGATGATGATGATGATGATGATAAGTGATACTTGAAAAAAAAAGAGAAGGTATAGCCAGAGTGGTTTCCATGGCACCTACCCCAATAATTCCATGGCACCTACCCCAATAATTAAAAGAAGGAGATTTTCAAATAAAGAATCGCAAGTAATAATTGGTTGCGATTTTATTTCAATATCATTTTGCTTCAAGCTAATTTCGAAGATGACATCTCATTTTAGTTATTTATTAAGTTCACGTTACTTAACAAGTTTCGTATTCCGATATTTTAAACATTCTCTTTGTTTTAAAGACAACCGAGAAAAAAAGACACAACCCCAAATAAAACGAAATAGCCAGTTAAACGTCAATCCAAATTAGTATTTTCGAATTTTCTTGAGTGTAATCCTACCAGTGTATAATAAATGCGTTTTTCGATATAGTTTCGTATTTCGGTTTCCGTAGCAGTTTTCTCTTTTTATAAGTAACCAATGCCCAAATTAATACGTGGCACTATGAAAAATAATGCAATGTATTAAGTTAAGTGCTAGACCAAACGATTAACCTTTCAGAAAAAAAATCTCATTCTTTAGAAACATTCATGTTCAAACGTAGAATGTATTAAAGATGTCAAAGTTTAATTGAAGAAATACGATAAACGTTTGACTTTTATTGTCAAATTACAACAATATGATGATGATGATAGGAGAACGGTTAATAACACAGAAAACGAACTTGGCTAAGCGAGTTCGAATTTCGTCTGAGACTGTGTTCATCTTGCACTAATGTATTTGAGAAAGGTGTGAATCTTTTTCTCCCTGCTTTCCATTATGCTTGTAAATATTTAGACATTAATCTGTTCGGTCATTGAAATATCGTTGAAAAAAAAAACAAAAAAGAGTCCGAATGAGTGATTTAACAAAAAAGGTTCTTTCTGTAGTGCCTTCCTCTTAAAGCAATTGCAATTAAAATAGCAATATATATATATATATATATATATATATATATATATATATATATATATAATATATAATTCAAATCAGAAGAGCTAAGAGGAAACATTTTTTAATCATTTCACCCCAAACAAGGCAATAAAGCCACTAAGTCGCAACGGTTACTGGGGATGAAAGACAATAGAGTGGAGGAAGAACAATAAGAACAGAATTCAATGAGACAGACGATAACGATTGACGTTGTATTTAAATATTTGTAGATTGAGGTTGACAGGAAAGCAAAAAGCAGGAAGAGAGTTCCATAGACGAAAAATGAGAGAGAAGAAACTATAAGAATAGAACTTACGGTTATATTTAACACTTTCAACAATAAAATAATGAGATCTAACTGCCAATCTAGTACTATGCTTAATTCTCGAAACCACGGTGCCAATGAGGAAAGCGTGATGTGATCGTAAACATTCTCAACCAGTCACTCCTGGGTCAAGTGACCATGTGTACACGATCCCCAGGACCATCACAGGCGATAAGAACTTCGTACGAAGCATTATGAATACAACCGTGAGGTACGCACAAATCCACCTACCACTTCTTCTGATCACCTGGCAATTTAAAAGATGCTGGCAATCTTCTAGTCGCTATGGTTGGCTGCTAATCCCATGTACACAGCGCCAGGGTGGAACTGTAAAAATATAGAATGTATTGTTGGCAACAAAAGAAAAAGCCCAACGCGCGAACTATGAATTGGAGATGTTAACATTTAAAAAAAAAGACTCTGAAATGCACAGGCCGGTAGATGTAATTCACACTGTTTAAAAAACAGGGCGTCTCAAACAGCATAGGAAAAAAATTGAAACGCACATTGGAATAGCAAAAGATGCGTTCTAAAAGCTAAACAAAGAAACAGGAACATTTCTCGTTAGAAAGAAAGAATACTGAACTGTTATGTAATATCAGTTCTCCATCTATGGCAGTGAATGCTGGACAATAGAGGAGAAAACTGGAGACAACAGAAATGTGGCTATACAGAAGGATGCTGATAATTCCATTTTGGGGATCTATAATGAGGATGGGGGATTTAAAACTCACATGGCATTGAAGGCAAAAGAGACCACCTACCTGAGCTTTGTGTGAATGGCTGGCGGAATGGGAGTGGGTGGGGTAGCAAAAGGAAAACACTAGTAAGGGCTACAAGAGAGAGGAAGTTGTGGAGAACCATGATCCCCAATGTCCTGAAGTGACACGTCACATAATACCAGATTAGAATAAACCATTTGAATGCTCTCGGTGAGTCTGAAAGAGAGATGGGAATGTTAAAATTTGGCGCATGTCGCGAAACATTACATTAGGTCGCCTTTCATTTATGGTTTGCTAAATTTGTCTCAGATTGCTGGCGCATTATTATTTTTGTACTTAACGGTTCCATATCTAACAGTTTCTGGTATGCAACCAGGAAGATTTAAATTACATATTTTATTTTTTTCTTGTCGTATTTTTAAAGTGTTTTTTTTTTTTAATATAAATTTACAAAATAAGTTAATAAAAATAAGATAAAATAAAAAAATATATATATATAAAAAAAGAGGTTTTCCTTCCGACCATTTTCTGAACTGTTATTATGGTACCTACATCAACGCAACATTTGCCAACGCGAATATTATCCTCATTCTTTCAACCATTTCGTAAGACCTGTTTGTTTTGGAAAGGATTAAAAGAAAGAAAGAAAGAAAAAAAAATGGCCCCAGTTCATGAATCTGATTGGTTAATAAATGGGACACATTTAAAACTGAGACAGAGTACGGGGAGTGGTTGCTTGACAGGTCTTTCTTAATTCCCAAATGTTGGGTGGGTTCTTCAGACTGGGGGATACCAGTCACCGTGTGGATGTATGATCAAAAATGAACAAAAACAAACGTGCTTACACACACACACACACACACACACACACAGACACACAGAGACAGAGACAGAGAGTCACATACGCACACACATAAATGTTTCTTATTTATCTTTATATTTTAGTGGAGACACGTTTTTGAGTAGAAACCCTGTTTTCTTAAACAGTGTCAATTACATCTACCGGTCTGTGCATTCGAGAGTCTTAATAAAGATAACGTGGTTCGAATCTTACCAAAAGGCACATGTTCTTTCTTTTTTTAATTTTGATCCTTGTCTTTTATTGCCCTTTATCTTCACTAAAGTTTTCTCACTGCTTAGGGTGCTTTTTAATTTAAAAAAAAGACTCAAATGCATAGGCTGGTAGATGTAATTCCCACTGTTTGAAAAAACAGGGCGTTTACTCAAACATGTGCCTCCACTAAAATATATCGTTTCAGTAATAAGAAATAATATTTTTTTTTTAAGCATTACGCTCCGAGCAAGGCGTGAAGCCACTATGATGCAGGGGGTTGCAGAAGATTTGGAGCAAGAGCAGATAGGAGTGATAGAAGAAAGGATGAGGAGAAGGATAGTGGATAGATCAAGGTAACTGTATATGTCGATTGACATTACATTTGAATAGTTGGAGATTATACCTCTCAGGGAAACAGTAATTTGGAAGGGTGTTCCACAGGCGAGAGGTGCGAGGTATGAAGCTATTGGAGTAGAAGAGACGGCTACATTTAAAAGTTTCTACAGTGTAAGGGTGGGAGCGGAATGCCAACCTCGTAGGGCGCTTGAATCATGCTTCTCTTGATTTTAATGCGCCTGGTGAGTATTAAATTCTCCAAACTATCTTTCTTCATGACGGGTCCCTAAAATTTAATCAGTCTATTTCTGATTGCATGCAGCAGTTTTTTTTTGTAGTACCTATTTTCCTTAAAACTTAATCGTTTCTCACATACTCTGTCCTTAGTATTCACCGGTAGAACCACATCTATACTGCTTCAACTCTTTACTTCATGTGTGATGAAATTTCCAAATGTCCACTGCTAAGTAGGACATTAGACATTACACGGTAGTCCAGTACCTCTATTCTTTGTTTCTAACGATAATTTTCGATTTCTTAATACCTTATCCAATTTCTGAAAAGCATCTTTACCTTTAACCAGACGCCTTCGGATTTTTGTATGGCATTTTCCGTCGTCTGTTACCACCCTGTTTGATTTTTACGTCCCCGATACGAAACTTACATTTTAGGCTGTTTCTTTTGCTAACAACCATACACCCTGTCTTCTGACAGTTAATGGTTAGTCCTTCCGTCTTGACGTCCTCAATTACCTTGTTTAATAGTTTAGAAAGTCGAAAGCTTGGGCCATATTTCTTGTACGTTTCTTTTGAAATGAATTTCAGACAATTACTTACGGAATTTCCTCCTTGTCTGAGAAGGTTTTGTGATATCCACAAACACTCGTTGCCACATTTCTGATGCCAACGGATACTTGTTGTCACAGAGATTTTGTAATCGCAGATACAACTATATAGTAACGCCGTTGAACAGTACTGTTGTCAGACGCCTTCGAATAACACTCGCACTAATAGTACTTGCTCGATGATACTGGGCTCG